TGACCTATTCTTTGTGTGGCTGCGTTGCAAAAATATGCATTCGCAATGAACAGAAAATACGCGCTTTTTGCTGCGTGCCATGGAGCTGCCGCATACCGTATGAAGTACGACACAAGATAACACACACCCTGGCCGGGTTTTCCAAGCTCAATTGATGAACAGCAGAAAGAGTAGGGGTCCCGAAAACGGCTGCGCTGAAGCCTTCTGGTTGAGATCTCTCCGAAAACGTGTCGTTTTCATACATGCTCTTGGTCGTGGAGTGCTCGAGCTTTGAAAATGGGTCCAGGTTGTGTGCTATCTTGTGTCTTATACGGTAGCAAAATACATGTACAGCAGTGTGACGAAAAAAAAAATGTGTTTGTGTGCATCCCTCCAGCAGGCAGAAATTCTCGTTTATTGTTTATTTGGTATGCATAGTATCGAAAATAACGTACATCTATCTGTACTCCGCAACCGTATATTTTTCATTTATCCATACTTATTTATTTTTAGTCGGTGGGGATGATGGCGCTGCGCGAGGAACCCACAACGCGCGACTTGACTGCTGGTGGTGGCGGGGGGCATGAATCCTGCCGGCCGGGATGGACAACATGGATGGACGATGGAAATCGCGTACAGACGTACATATATGCATCATATTCTGCTGTAGACTACAGAGCAGCCACAGCAGCATACTCACACTGGTTGGTACATGAACTCTTTTTCAGCTGCTTTCTTCTCTTTTTCTCTCTCGTGTGTGTGTTAGCGCGTGTACCTCACCTTCAAAAATGTCGTTGTTGCCGTTGTCTGGTGGATGCACCCCCGTCGCGATTTTTTTCTTGCGGCCGCGCGGTAGCTCCACAGCCCGTGCTTCCACCGAGGACCCGCGGAGCAGATTGCACAGGAGCGCGCCGCAGCCCTCGCTGGGCTGAGGGCCCGCGAACTGGATCTCCACTAGCACGCCACCGCTGTCAGCAGCGGCAGCATCATCAGCTCTGGAGAAGTTAGAAGATGAATCTTGTTGATGTGCAGCCGGTGGTGGTCGTGATGTTTCTCCTGAAAAAGCAGCATCAGTTCCGGGCGCCCCTGCTGGCCGTTTAATGGCCAGCCTCTTCACAGTGGTGTACCTCTCGCGAACGGCGAACAACAGGTCCGCCTCCGTTACAGCTGCAGGGTGGTCATACGGCAGAGCAAGGGGTCAGCAGCAGCAGCAGCAGCAGCAGCAGCAGTAGCATCAGGTCTTCCGTTCGTTGTGTCGCTTTCTCGGCAAAAATGCATCGGCGGGCGTGTACACATTTTTTTTCGTCCCCCATCTAGCTGTGGTCTCTGTCGGACGAAGCGACTGACTCGAGTATTTTTCTCCCTGGAGGCGCGGTGACTTTGCCCGCAAAAACAAGCGGGGCGGGCGCCGCCACCGCCACCAACACCACCAGCGACTACGACACAGCAGGACATTGCGTCTCGCTGCTCAGTGCAGTCCTCCGCACGCAACATAGGCCTACCGTCGCACCTAATGCATGTTCCATTGCTCTCTCTCTCTCTCTCTCTCTCTCTCTCTCTCTCGACGCGTACATGGGCATCATGCATTTGCCGCATCTCTCTCTCTCTCTCACCATAGTTTGTGATGCCATCAATATGAAAAATCCAGCCCCGTTGCTTTCTCCGAAAGGGCCGCACGCTTCTCGTTGCACCACGGGCAGCGCCAGCAGCACCAGCGGACGGCGGTGAGACTGTCGTCGCAGCAGGCGTCCTCACGCAGCCGAGGCTCGACATGGTTTGTGGGTGGCAGGGATGCGTGAAGTTTCGAGGTGTGATTGATTGCGCTGCCGCTGTTGGTTCTTGTGTTTGGAGCTGATCCACCGAAAGAGCCGGACTTGCTCTGCAACTGCAGGTGCAATAGACCGGGAAAAAAAAACACGCCGAAGAGCTGTCTGTCTGCCCCCCCCCGCGCGAGCCCTTGCCCGACCACGATGATAGCTAATGGCAACGCCTGAGTACGGCCGCCGTGTGCTCTCTCCTACCCCCAGCGCCTCTTTTTCGATCTCAACGGACGCGACAAAAGTAGTACTCACGACAGACACGGGCAAACTATCATCATCGACATGCACGCGCCTCCAAGCTTGGATACAGATAAATATTGTATGAGCGAAAAAATGACTGAAATAATGAATAGTTTGGGTGCGGGCCAAAATCTATGTGCTGCCCAACAACCAAGCAGACCAGCAGAGGAAATGGCACGCCGCTTGCTGCTCGGTAGGGTCTTTCGACGAAACCTGTGTGCAAGCAGCAGACCGACGTGTGACGGATGTTTGATGACGAACAAACATACCCATGAATCTCTCGGTTGGTTGATTTATTGATCGGACTACAGTGAACTGGTTGGTCCACCCCCTCACTCACCCCTCATACGCAGCATGCATGCACTGAAGAAACGCATCTTACCGCTGTTTGTTTGCGCCTCAACTTGTTACATTACTGGAGCACCGACCCCTCCCCGATGGTTGGCTGCAGCTCCATCCATCCGCCCGTGCTCTCTATCCTAAGCGCATGTTTTGCTCTCGTCGGGCAACCGGCAACACATACATACCACTGGTATACTACAACAGCAGTACGCCGCATGGTGGTAGGAATCCCAGGTCTGCACACATATCGTCAGTACCTACAATATATATTGATGTACCTATCTATCTGCAACGAACGGTCATCATGTAGGTTTTAGTCTATCTATCTATCTATCTATCCATCTATGCAGCTCTGCGCTGCTACTGCTGCTTCATGGCGGTGCTACTGGTTGCAGCAGTACTGCATATATATATCATATGTTGTGTATGTTCTCTTCACCACCACCATATAGATATATTATGATCAATCAACCATGATTAAATTATTGCCACGGCCCCGGCCCGGCGGGGGGCGCACAGCCCGTTATCTATCACTTCAGCCCGTATTATTGTACGTTTTTTATTGTGTGTGTTTCATGATGTACCTCCTCCTCCGTTTATCATCCCCATCAATCAATATAATCTGATATAATAGGTATGTATGCATGTAATGTATGTTCACTATTCTGTTGTAGTCGAGTCATTCGAACTCAACTAATAGGGGTGGGTGGCGTTTTGGAACCAACCGTCCGTGTCCTCGACTCAGCAGCCTTCTTCCGAATAAATCAAAGGGATGCTACATCCATGCATGCATGAATGTATGTGCATACATACATATACATACGTCGTCTCATTTGATTTTCGCGGCTTGGTGGTCTCTCTCGTTGATGGAGTAGTATGCTACAAGATCAGACTAATAATACGGTGTATGCAGAGGCTGCATTATTAGCACTTTATCACTATATATATAATATTGTAGGTAACCCGATGCGTTATTTACTCGAATTCCGATTTCAAAAGTTTCCTATGTGATGCATGCACCTACACAACTCAGATACAACACCCAGGAGTGTACTTACTTGTAGGTGCACCGGGCTATATTTTGGAGAAGCTTACAAGAAACTTCAGGGAAAAGCGCGCCCCCTACCGACAGAAAAATGACAAGCCAGTAGTTAGTTGTGGTCGTCCTTGACAACAGAGCGGAGGCGAGTCTAACGCGCCCGCCCTTTGTCTTACACCCACCCACCCGGCGGACGTCGGGATAGAGAGGAAAGTACCGACCCAACGAAAGAATGCGAACGGAGGAACTCTTCAACCGCTTTGAAATGATAAAAGAGGGATTATTTCTTGACGTACGTACGTGAAGAATCCACCGTTCAGAACTGTTCAGGTCTGCGCATCTTGCCCTCTTCATTCAGCCTGAGCACAAAGATCCAAAAACGTGCTTACTGGCAGCGCATACACCGTAATGTTCGAAAACTAAGGTACGGCGTATGTGTGTGTGTGTGTGCGTCTGCTTGACAATATTGACCATCGGTCCAGGGGGTGCGGTATCTCCGGCAAACCTACAGAAGATCTACCTCTTCTTGTAGCCTGGTATTGTTCGTTCGTGCGTTTGTGTGTCCGTCCCTGGAACATTGTCGCATCTCATATTCTAGGTGCCACGAGTAGTAGTACTAGCTAGATGTTTCACGCCCGCCGGGCACAGGATGGGGAAAAAAGAAAAGCCAATGATGATCACAAAAAAACTACTCTACATGTATCTATTCTTTTTTCTCGAACAGCAAAAACCCACAACACTAGCTGAAGAACTGACTACTTGAAGTACATATAATATCTGCTCTAACGACACCGGTCGGCACGGAAGTAAGTTAGAAGGTAGCAGCGACCTGAACTTTAACACAACAACAACATCACACTACACCATCCTGACAAAACACACGAACAAACAAACGTCGTTTGGTTCTCTGTGTGGTCCGCGCCCTCTGACGTCTGTCTGTCTGTGTCTGTCTGCCGAAAAGGACATAATAATGATGTAGTAGGTGTGTACGTCTGACTAGCTAGGTAGGTGGTCATATCTCGAATGGGTAGTTTTTCTGTGTTTGTATTTATGTTTCCTAATATGGTATGAAGTACGTGACTAAGTGACTACTACATTTTGTAGGGTTTGCCGCAATTGGTTTACAGAACGGGCCCGCCCGTTCTTCTGTGCTAATTCTACTCCGAACAATAAGAAAGGAAACACAGCATGTAGTAGCTCAATCTCGGCCACAACAAAAGAAAGAATACTCAATCGTGCGATACCCCCAAGACATAAGAAACAAGGAGAATAGCTGTGGGGGAGGAGCGAGCGTGTCCAATAAGAAATGTCCCACTGATGCTGCTGCTGCTACCATGTTCCCACCCCCTAGTTCATAGAATTAATATTATTATAGTATCTATCCAATACTTGTAGTACTATATTATAATTGTCGTTTCGGGCTGAGATGTTGCTGCTACCCTTGCGTTTTTCTGCCCTCAGTTTTGGTCGAACGGTGTCGTTCTTCAGCCACCGCCGCACACCCAGCAGCTTAGTCGGATCCGAAGTGCGACAGGCTCGGAGATGATCCGAATCGATCGATGGATCGATCGATCGAGGCGATGCTCGCAATCTGGGATTCGACATCTTGTTGTCAGATAGATTCCGGGATTTCAGGTAGGTGTATGTGCATATGTCACGGTTAATTTAGTTACGGTTTCAAGGAGTTGCACCTTTGGGAGGTTTGCATTATTCCCATAGAGTGCTGTATAGTTCTGTACATTCCGCAGAGCTCCTTGTAGAGCGTGTCGCCCGCGCACACGCTGCTCACTTCCTTTGTTGGCACTTGTGCTTAGCAATAATCAAAGCGAATACCGTATCCACGACCGGAGACCTTCTCCACGTTCCACAAGCCTCCTTCTAGGCTTTCTCTACCGCTGTTCAAGCGCTCCTTCGAACTCGGTGCAAGAGCGAGAGACTGCTACCAACAGGTCGGTAGCTGTTTAGTCACCATTTAGTCATGCGTGGGATCCTCTCAGAAACCAGACATGTGCATATGTGACCCCTGCGAGCCTTGAACCAGAAGCTCGAGTCTTTTCCTACAAGACTTTCTCAAGTCACAGGATCCCTCTCAGATTACAGTCTCTCCACTTGCTACATGGTGTCCATCCGTGATATAGCCGCGCGCTCCCGGTAGAGCGCTCTTGGCAAGGTTGTGTTGCTGTGTTTTTTTTCTGCTTTGGCGCGCTTTTCCTGTTTTTTTTCGCGTGACCACAGCATTGCTTCTCACGCTGCACTTGTTAGCGCAAACCGCCCACACGGTTTACGGCGTGTTTGCTGGCATTTGTCCGTGCTGTCTCGGAGTACATTGCTGCTGTTGGGCGCGTGTCCACTGTATTTTTTCCCTTCACCGTTCACATGCTTGCCCCTCCACAACAGCACGTACGTGCAGCAGCGCCTTTTGTTCCTATATTTTTTTGTGTATGCGCACCGGCGCTCTAGTCTAGTATGGGTGGCGCCGCCAGCGCAGTTGTGCGCTAGCGTTTTCCTGAAATCACAGGTGCTACGTCGACCGCCTAGAGCCCCAGCGGCACCAATGCCCCGGATGGATGAGTGCTCGGGAGTCAGAGCCACACACACCGAGTTACCCCCGATCGCAGTTTTTCCCCACCGGCAGCCGAAAAAGATAATGATGATGAGATTTGAGTGCCTAAGTCCGGGCTGGAGTCGCAGACGCCTTGCGGAAACCGTTGTGTGTTGGTCTCTCTCCCGCCGCTACCGCCTGGACTTTGGATGCCTGGGCCTGGCGCTAGCTGCCGGATTTCTCTGGGCTCGGGAGCTCTTTCGCCGCTACCGCCTGGGCTTTGGATGCATGGGCCTGGCGCTAGCTGCCGGATTTCTCTGGGCTCGGGAGCTCTTTCGCCGCTACCGCCTGGACTTTGGATGCCTGGGCCTGGCGCTAGCTGCCGGATTTCTCTGGGCTCGGGAGCTCTCTCGCCGCTACCGCCTGGGCTTTGGATGCATGGGCCTGGCGCTAGCTGCCGGATTTCTCTGGGCTCGAGAGCTGAGGGCCGGACCCGGGCGCTGCTAGGAGCCACCACACTGCTGCGCCGCTGCCTTTCGACCACCGTTTTTTTTCTTTTTCGCGCGATTCTACACCCCGCCGTTCCATCATTGTTTCAACTCTGCTGTTACACACCACCTTGACCATTGTTGCTGTGCTGAGTGGGGTTCCTTTCAACCAATTTCGCGTCCTTACCCCATATGTATCGGCCAGATCTATTCCGTTACCCCTACTCTTCATTTTTTTAATTGTAATGTTACACTCACGCCAGCCCCGCCCTCCCGCCTCGCCCTAGCAGTGATGTCCTCTCGCGATTCTCAGGTGTTGTCGGGTGGTGCGGCCGGTACCGTGCAGGCCCCCGAGAGCGCTCAGGAGTCAACCAGTCGCTCCCGCTCCCATGACCGCCAGCCCTCGGAGACGGCAACTCGCTCGGCGTCCCTCGACTACGCCGCACAGGCCTCATCTCGCGGCCGGAGCCCGGGCACCGGTTCCGGCAGCCGCAAACGCCCGAGCAGTAGTAGCGACAAGCGTAGCGGGTCCAGTAGCGGCAGCAAGAGTAAATGCCGTAGCCAGACAACGTCTCGTAGCGGCGGTAGCGGCAGCGGTAACGGCATGGGAGACACAGGCCACAATAGCGGTACAGGCGCCAGCAGTAGTCGCAACGGTCACAGTAGCCATACGAGCTCTAGTAAACGGCGCCGCACGGCGGACTGGAACGACATTGTCAACTACATGCGCTCGCACAATATCTGTTTCCGTCACGCCTTTTCCGGTAATTGCCGTCGCCCCTCGTGCGAGTGGACCCACGATCCGTTTCCCGCAGGCTTCTACAAGAGCGTCCCGATGAGGCAACACGGCGGCGCGGGCCGACACCAGGTGGCGTCGTTGACGGAGATGCAGTACCAGATGGCATGCGACATGGGGATTTTGGCGCGGGGAGACAGCGAGGACGAGCAGGATGGCGCCACCCACGCTTAGGCAGCACCGGACGGTACTTCCTGAAGGTGCGCCACAGGCACGGCACATTCAGGCCTGAGGGACTCGTTGGCAGCTGTGGACACCCCGCCCGGTAAGGAGAAGAGTGGTAGAGACCAGTTGTGGGTAGAGGGTCAGGTTTGGCACCGCCATCGCCGCCGCCGACCTCGGTCGGTGGAAATCCTGTTGGATACCGGCGCTGGCGGTGGTAGAAACGTTCCCTTTCCGTTTTGGCGTGGGCTTAAGCGACTTCTCCGGCGCAGTTTGGATGTGAGTAGAGCAGGGGCTTTGGAAGCAGCCAACCCTCATGACAGTCAGACACCACCGATGCGCATCTTAGGATCAGTAGTGTTGCCGATACTGTTCCAGGGTGATGCACGAGTAAGGAGCGTGGACGTGCGTGTCGTAGAAGGGTTGCCATGCGGGTTCATAGTAGGAGCGGATTTCTTTCGGGGAAACAGTAGTTTGCTTGACTTTAGCCCTGGCAAAGGCTTTAGGCCCGTGCCAGCGGCACCTTGGGTACCGTTTCTTAGACGCTGCACCACACGCCCCGGCTGCTGCTAGCCCCCTCTGCCTAGCACGGGACCGGTTTAGTCTGCTCACTGCCTTCGAGACCACCCCCGTGTTAGAGCCGCCTGCTGTTCCCACAGTCGTTCCCAGCTATGAAGACATCGTGTGGGAAGACGACAGCTCTTTCGAGTGGGACGTGCGTCAGGTTCCCGAGGCTACCGCGGTGGAGGGCTTTACGGCACGCGCGGTAGAGGCTGCTGCAATAGGGCCCCAACCGCAGGACAGACAGCTCGTGATGGTCCTGCCGACAGCGCGGTTTGATCTCGAGCAAGATGCGGTAGTAGGAGTTGCTCGTTCAGTGATGTGGTGGATTCCAGGGCCGCCTGTCTACTGCAAGCTTGTCAATCGTGGTAAAGAGACGGTGTCGGTCGAGGGTAACCGCGTGATAGCTCGCATGATAGCTCTCAACGTTCGGGACCGCCCGGGTTTTGACTCCCTTTTCGATGCCACCCCTGCTGCCGCCGATCCGCCGTTGCCGCCGCGAGAGGCCAACCCGCCCCCCGATCCAAGCCCGGCCGTCGATCCCAGCCCGCGAGTTCGTGTAGAGGATGCCAACCTGGGGACGCTAGGGTCACTCAAGAAGCAGCAGCTGGTCAACGTGCTTGCTGCTTTCATCGAAGATGGCCTGTTTCCCATCGATCCGAAGCGTGTGCCTGCTTGCATGAACGGTGAGCTAGAGCTTCCTCTGATCAACGAGTTTTGCACTCCGTTCGCAGCCAAGCAACGACGTTTTTCTCCTGAAGAACGTCGTATGATTCGAGCCGAGATACAACAGTTAGTTGACCGGGGGGTGATACGGCAATCCATGTCCCCGTGGGCAGCCCAATGCTTGTGCGTGAAGAAGAAAGACGGTACCCTACGGCTGTGCATCGACTGGCGTGAGCTCAACAAACTCTTGGTTTCGGATAGCGGAGGTCTAGGCGACATGCAAACGATATTCGACGGTTTGAAAGGCAAAAAGTATTTCACGCAGCTAGATCTCGCCTCAGGTTTTCACCAGATGGAAATTGCCGAGAAGGACCGTTACAAAACGGCCTTTCGAGACGCTGATGGTATGCTTTGGGAGTTCACTCGCGCGGGTTTCGGATTGACGGTGCTGCCGGCGGCTTTCACGCGTAGAGTAAAGTCGGCCTTGGGGCAACTGCCTGGTGTGTTTAGCTGGCTTGACGACATCCTCATCGCTAGTGATACGTGGGAAGAACACCTGGCCACCCTTACGCTCGTTCTGACACGCCTCTTAGCTGCGGGATTGTCAGTAAACTTCGCGAAATGCATCTTTGGCGCTGCGTCTCAGGAGTTTCTTGGCATGATCATTGACGGGACGGGTCTGTACCCTGCCCCGTCCAAGCTCGACGCGATTGCCCACATGCCTCGCCCGTGTACGGTAGAGGGGTTGCGCACTTTTTTGGGTTTGACCGGCTACCTTCGGCAGTTTGTACCCAACTACAGTCTGACGGCGGCACCACTCACCAACATCTTGCGCAACAAAGCCTTCGCCTCGAAACGTGCTCGCAAGCTTGCTATCCCTTGGACCGCTGCAGAAGAAGACGCTTTTCGGTCGTTGCGAGCCACTTTGGCTTCCCCAACCGTGCTCGCCTTCCCCGACCTCGAGCGGCCCTTTGAGCTGCACACCGATGCTAGCACGCTAGGCGTAGGAGCTTCACTCATGCAGACGATCGACGGCGCGACAAGAGCAGTAGCATTTGCGAGTCACAGGTTTTCGCAGACGGACGCCAGAAGGGGCCCTACCGAGAGGGAGTGCATGGGCGTGTTGTGGGCGGTTGAACACTTGCGGCCGTACCTCGCGGGTAGGCAGTTCAAGCTGGTGACCGATTGTTCCGCACTGACGTGGCTTTTCCGAAGTAGAGAGCTCTGCCCCAAGTTGCACAGGTGGGCGGTTCGGCTCATGGAATACGACATGGTGTTGGAGCGGAAAACGGGAGTGGAGCACGTGGTGCCTGACGCTCTCTCTCGGCTACCTATCGCTGGTCCAGCCGTGGTGGACGTCGACGACTCTTTCCCGGATGACATGTCGTCGGCGGTTGCCGGCGCTGCAGTAGAGCCTCTTGGCCCAGAGCTGGATGGTGTAAGTTTGGCTGAACTAGACCCCGTACAGGCAGAACCAGCAGAGGACGCGGTTGTCCATGATCGTGCCTCACATTCCGCCCTGGAGGCGGTTGACGCTAACCTTTCCGCCCTCTGAGTGTTGCCTTTTGCTACGTGCGCGGCGTTGGATGCTGAGTCAGGCGGCCCCCGTAGAAGCGGCCGATCCCGCACGCCGTCCGTACGTCTGCGGCCTATCGGCGACGTACAGTTGCCACCGGTCGGGGAGACGGGGCGTCTACCGAGCAGGATGGCGGCCGGCCCTACGCCAGTCGAGTCGGCAGACCCGGTGCCCCCGCTCCCGACGCTTCCACCGTTACCCGTCCAACCGGGCCATGACGACATCGGCGAAGTGCTTGCTGCACGGGGGGAGGTTCCGAGGTCGTCCTCAGGACCAGGCTGGAGTGGAACGGCAGTCATCGACTCGACTGCACAGGTGCTCACCAAGCCAGCCCTGCTGGCTCAACGGCAACGAGACGACACTCTCTTGGGTCAGGTTCGCAAGAGTTTGAATGAGAATGCGAACACTAGCCAGGGGGGAAGGGCGGATAAGCGGTACGACCTAGGTGAAGATGATGTTATCCGGTACGTGGATGGTAAGGGTAGGAAACTGCCCACTATCCCCGACTCCATGGTAGCAGACATCATCGCTCTGGTACACACGCTGCATGGTCATGCAGGGACGGGAGCAACTTTGTCCTTACTGCGAGATCATTTCCACTGGCCCACGATGACGCGAGACACCCGACAGTACGTGTTGTCGTGTAGTTGTCGTAGACGCAAGAGACCGCAGAGCAGACGGGTAGCCATGATGCCAGGTAGACCGCTCGAGCCGTGGGATGAGCTGCAAATGGATATCCTCAAGATTGACACGCCGTCGCTGACCGGCAACAACTACGTTCTGCTCGTGGTAGACCGCGCCTCTAAGTTCCCTTTCGGTTTCCCGTTAGAGACAAAGCAGGCAGTAGGCGTTGCGCGCGTCTTGATCGAGCTATGCCTGACCTTCGGTGTTCCAAAAACCATTCGCTGCGATGGGGGTTCAGAGTTCGGAGCGGAGGTAGTGAGGCACCTGTGTAGGTGGTTGCATGCAGACATCGTGTTTGGCCCTGCGGATCATCCACGAGGTCAGGGGTCTGTCGAGAGGCTGGGGGGGGATGGCTCCAGGAGCTATTGGCGGAGCTGTGTAGGTCGTGGCCTGACAGGTGGGACGAGTATGTTTCACCGTCGATTTGGATCAAGCGTACGCTGCCAGACACTTCGCTCCCCTCCCACATGACCCCTTTCGAGCTGCTGTTCGGCCGCAAGCCCCGCACGACTTTGGACTCGTTAGTGCCTCTCACAGACGAGGCAGGACAGGAGCGAGGCCTTGACAATTTCGTGGAGCGACGCAAGCAGAATCTCCGCGAAGTACGGCTGGCACTCGAGAAGCGCCACGAGTTGCAAGTAGCGGCGCGGGCGAAAGCCAACGCGTCGATCGAGAGGTCATCCGCAGGAGTGGCGGTGGGACAGGACAGCTTAGTGCTGGTCCGCGAGACCGACAGTCGACGTCACCGAGATCGCAGAGGGAGGAAGCTGCAGCACGACTTGTACACAGGGCCCTGGAAAGTAACGGACGTGATACAACCGGGTCTTAGTGTAGGAGTCAGCATGCAGGGTAGAAAGAAGCGTAGCCGGAGAGTGTCTACCGCCGATGTTAAGCCTTTCCACCTTCGACCCCCCTCGCTCAGACATTCCATCGCCGACGAGTTCGCGACTTACGCTTGGGGATCCGATTTCAAACTCCCTGCGGGGGCCGCAGAGATGTTGGGATTTGTCTCCATTGTGGACTGCCATAGAACCCGATCAACCTCTGGCGCTCAGTTAGTTTGGGAGTATAAGGGGATGTCTGGAAATGGGGTGGTGTCGGACTGGGTGTCAGAAGAGGTCATGCTGCAGAGTTTCACGCCCCTTCAGTTGGATGGCTTCGTCGCACTGTGGCATCTGTACTACCCGCAACGCGCCACCGATCCTTTGCCTGTCTTACCCAAGTCCCGTGCCCCGCTGTCGCACGCCGAAGCTCTGAAGCTGTTTCCGATAGGTTTCACCTTCTGGAAGGAGCTGGATGGAGGAATCAGGTTACAAGGCCAGGTGTACGACTATCTCCACCCTTACTGGCGTGTACGTTACAACGACCAGAACTGGGAAGAGCTCTCCCGCCGAGAGCTGGAGCGACTAGCGAAGTAGCGGCCAATGGCTTGCGTGGCCGGACTATGGTGCCTTTCGATTGCAGAACGTTCGTTTCTTAGACGGGGCACGGCCGTTTTCAGGTGGTCCAGAGACGCCAGTACACGAGTCGGTTTTGCGCTGCGTTGGGTGGTAGGATGTAGGTGTTGATTCCTAGGGATAGTGCGTCCGTATGCAGGCAGTCTTACGATGCCCGTACACCGGTCGGTACGCGCTGATTCCCCCGATGCGTGTGGGTGGTAGTTGGAAGCCCTAGGAATAGTGCGTCCGTATGCAGGTAGTTCTACAATACCCGTACACTAGTCGGCACGTTCTGATTCTCCCGATAGATAGCTAGTTTGGAGTGTGTACCTTGCCGTAGCGCGCGTAGTTCACGGTTTCCTTTTGGCGAGTAGATTGTTTCGCGTGTCTAGACGTACTATTTTATTTAGCCCTTGTGAAGCGTAGGGTATTTTGAGTGTTATGTGTGTCCTGATTGTACTTGTATAGCCGGAGGATTTGATACCTGGTTGCTGATTTTGCAGTACCCGGTGGCACCCTTGTGGGCACTTCGTAGTGGCGTCTTGATGCGTGGAGTGTGTTGATTTTGTGTCGTAGGTGTACGAGTGCCATCGCAGTGATCGAATTGTACGGTTGCAGCTGCGGTGTGGTTTTGGTTTTGGTTTGGTGTTGTAGGTGCTTTGCGCAATGGGATTATCCCTGGATGGCCAGGTTTTTCCCGCGCTGTAGATGAGGGTCGGGCCAGCCACTACAGTGAATTCACCAAGTGAAGGACGGTTTTTTGTAAGAGTATTTTACGTCCAAGTGGCACTTGGTGTTTTCGGTCGCTGGCCTGAATTCTTTGGCTCTCGGGATGGGGGCGAAGGGTTTCTCCCGGACACCGGGTTTTTCCTTCGCACAAGTCGATGTCGGGCCTGTTCAACGCGCAGTGAGAATGTCGAGACGAGCGGTTTTTATGTAGGTTTTTTCGCTGTCCCCTCTCGATATTCTCGGTCGAACTTTCGGTCCAACTTATAGGCATCGCATGGTAGTTTTTCAAGAGGAAGTGCGCCACTTTGCGGTGTCCGCAATTCCCGCTACAGTTTAGCATGTGACAGCTGACAAATAGCTGTCCATGCTAGGGGGGATGTCACGGTTAATTTAGTTACGGTTTCAAGGAGTTGCACCTTTGGGAGGTTTGCATTATTCCCATAGAGTGCTGTATAGTTCTGTACATTCCGCAGAGCTCCTTGTAGAGCGTGTCGCCCGCGCACACGCTGCTCACTTCCTTTGTTGGCACTTGTGCTTAGCAATAATCAAAGCGAATACCGTATCCACGACCGGAGACCTTCTCCACGTTCCACAAGCCTCCTTCTAGGCTTTCTCTACCGCTGTTCAAGCGCTCCTTCGAACTCGGTGCAAGAGCGAGAGACTGCTACCAACAGGTCGGTAGCTGTTTAGTCACCATTTAGTCATGCGTGGGATCCTCTCAGAAACCAGACATGTGCATATGTGACCCCTGCGAGCCTTGAACCAGAAGCTCGAGTCTTTTCCTACAAGACTTTCTCAAGTCACAGGATCCCTCTCAGATTACAGTCTCTCCACTTGCTACACATATATATGCGAACCTATTGAGTGGGCTAGTTCTATGGAACTTGAGTGCAGGGGGCAGCTGGCATGGCTAGGGGGTGCTTTCGGCTTTCCCTCATCGGGTACAGCAGGTACACCGCAGCAGAAAAGAGATTTAGACTACAGCTGCCGCCATGTCGACTATTTGAATTTTCAAATTTTGAATTTGTTCTTCAGCACACTCTCTTGTTTGTTGTCTACATACTTACTCACGACAAGCTAGACAGTAAACGACATGATTTTCTTGGTGTCCGGGGCCCTGTTATTGTGTTACGCTGCTACCCTGTGCCGGCTGCTGCTGGTATGCATAGATACATCATCTGCCCTCCCCGCGAGAGGGCTTAGACCCCCCGCCCCAGCCCCCCCCCAGATAACACCCACGACACCCCCAACCGAAGGGCCTGGCAGCTGCTCTCAGCACACATTGCACAGCCACACAACACGCTTCAGCAGCTGTCAGTGTTGAGAGTTCGTGATACGATGTCGGATTCAGGGGGTGGAGAAGGTATCGGCCAGTGGCTCGTCGACCTGGCGATGAAGCCGGGCAGCTCCGTTCAGCTGGTGAGAATATTTGCGGCTCAACCTCAAAGCGCCGTTGGAACCTGCTACATGCATGCGTAAGTAGCCGCAAGAACAATGCTGGACAGCCGCCTACCTGAACACGCCACCACTTACAACCTTTTGTGTTCCCCCCGAGGCTCGCGGTTTGCTTCCTCTTGGAAGAACCAATGGGGGATGCAGGTACCTGTTAGGTAGTAGTTGGGCTTCACGTTCCTCTGTTCTTGAGATAAGTTCCCCTCTCTATAGCAGTACGATCGACTACCCGTACTGCTGTATTGCTGTAGTCTACACCAGAAGCTCAGCAGTCGTAAAGTCGGCTGAATCGGGACACCAACATGCAGCTGGCCACTCACCAGCCTTAGAGCAGTAGGCGAAAGTTGTCTCCCGAGAGCTGAAAATGCCGCGTGCAGCTTCAATTCAGATGCTATGGCGCAGCACTTCTCGAAGCAAAATCAAAGGGTGGGCAGAACTCGCGATTTGCTACCATATCTCCGTTACACCGAGTACGGCAGCAGCATCGAAGAAGCCACCCACGAGGTGGGGTGGTGTGTCATGGCAGTACAATAACGCCTACAATAGATTGCAGCAGTAGTGCTCCTTTTCTGCAAAGCCTTGCACCTGTTCTGCAGTATGCGTCTATGACCGTGGATTGCACCGCCATGATCAGTCGCGACTTTGCCAACTGACAATCCCTCTTGAGACTCAAACAAAAAAATCAGCACCGTACACTGCTGTACACCATCTGGGTGGACTACATGTACAGAAACATATTCCAGCAATGATGCCTTCCGTAGCAGGAGTGCGAAACGTGTGGCCCCGGCTGGGACCTCCATGTGTTCCTGCTGTAGTCCGACGTCCGGAATCGATGCGATGGCAGCACAAACACCGTTTCGAAAAGGTAGCACACTGCTGCAGCCTCTTTGTGTTGAAAAAGCACGTGACCACTATTAGACTACGCACCAGCGCGGTGACTCATGAGGTAGTCCAGGGGCCATCTCGCGTTTCTGTGAAAGCTTTTGCCGGGGTCCGTCCCTCTAGCTGTTAAGTCGCGAACTCGGCGTCAGGGGTGCCGTCCCTGTGATCAGCGCTGTCTTCCCCGGCCTGGTCATCGTGCTTTTCGACACATTGCACCGAAGAAGATGGAACACACACAATACCGCGCTGAAGGCACCCGGAGCGTCGCCACAGCCGGCGGTAATCCACCAAGCCTTTTCATCATAGCCAGCCAAAGAAAGCGAACGTACGGATACCCACCCCCGCGCGCACCAGTGTACAACTCGCGTCGCTGTAGGCGTGACGACCGCGTCGTGCTCTGCATTCAGCAGAGACGACATACAGCAGAGACGCGAGAAGGTTTGCCACACAAGGAGGAGCAGTCGATTCAGCATCACTAGAACAGTGCCCACGAGCAAAGATTCTTGTTGGGGAGACGACACGACAGGGTGTTACCCTGGTCGAAGAGCAACTCACTCTGAAAGTAAAACGCGGCGGGTTGAAAGTGGGCGTTGACCAATCATCTGGGTTCAATTCCACGCTGCTGGATACTGTGCACCCAGCTGAGCGAGCCGCTTTTCGACCAGGGTATAACAAGTTTGTGTCTCTTCACCCTCTTGGGGGTGTTTTTGTTGTTTTTTTCCCGGGGGAAGGCAAGCGGTTCCAGAAGTGCACCGGCTCGTCGTTCGCCAGTGGGATGCAGGGGGGGGCGGGGTCCTCCGTTACACTCATAAATTAGAAATTTCCAAGGGGCCCTCCGCAAGGATCCCATGGAACACCCCGACCCCCCCCCCGGACCAAGATTGACGCCCAGGATCAGTAGGCTGCACGGATGACTTGCAGCAGTCTGTTGTCTGGGATTTTGTGTGTATATAGTAAAACCTATATACTCTTCCTTGTATTGGGTTTCGGGTCGCGTTTGAAATCCATATAACACGGGGGAGTAACTGGTTGAAGTAAGGTCATACTATATTACGACAGGATGTAGTATGGCATCCTAAGACCCAAGTGATCCGTAGGTGTATAGGTTTGAGTATGGCCATACTCTTATCCTATAGGCTGAAGTGTCGCATTCTAAAACTCATATAGTACCGGGACTTCTTGGTTCAAATATAGCCATTCTAAATCCTACACAAATAACACATGTATAGATTTTTTTCCCCACAAAAATCCCACATAGCTTTGCATAGCTAATGATAAATAGGTCCAAGTATTCCACACTAAATCCTCTACAATAGATCCCCCTTCCCCCCCCCCTCGCGACCTCGATTGACGCGCAACCTCAGGGTGTTCCATGGCTTCCATGCGGAGGCCCCCTTGAAATTTCACGTTGTGTGGGTGACGTAACCTTGGTCCTGCGTGTGGGTGTACACGTGCGTTGTAGGGCGGGGCGTGCTTGGCGAGAACAGCCCGGCTGACGGAGAGGCAGGGTGACAATCCCTTGCCGCCACATTCTACAGCATGCACACATTGCAGGAAGCCGTCGTTTGTGCCGGACATGCACACGGGCGTGGCGCGTAGTGCGGCGTAAACGGCCTACCGCTGCCTAGACAACCGGACGCTAAGCCAAGTCCGATTGACGCGCTCACGGCGCCGTTTGCCTTCCGTCGTTCATCTTGTTAACACCACAGCAGTCGAACGGGACGTCTTGGAAGTCTTTGCAGTAAGTGTCGGGGCGTCTTTGGTCGTTATTTTTAAAACAATTGCATACAAAATCACTGAAAGGCCAGCCGTTCGAGATAACACCACAGCAGGCGAACGGGACGTCTTGAAAGTCTTTGCAGTGAGTGGAGATTAAAACTGTTTTTAAGCCTAAACACCCAATTATCAGTCTGAAGGCTAACGCTGAATTATCAGTGATATTTTTATTTGTTTGATGTCCCCTTGCTTAACAACAGGTTCCTTTCATCAACGGCGTGCTGTGCATCCTGGTGGGCCTCCTGGTGTACGTGGCGGCCTCCGGAGAGGGAAGCATCCACGTGTACGTCATGGGCTTCCTGTCGATCGGGCTGATGGGCTCCGTCAACTGGTAGGGCGTGTTGATGATGTTGATGATGTTCACGGAAAAATGCTGTCTTTGTTTGGCTTGTCGTCCAAAAAAAATGAGGACCTCGCTCTGCCTCCCCCGCCTACGATGCCGGCCGTAACGGCCTCCACAGAGCATTTATCAGCCGAAATGGTTTGATTGTGACAAACACCAAGTCCTTAACTCCCTATTTCTCACAAAAACGGTCGCTATCTGTAGGCCGTGTTTGCCCTTCACGGGGATATTTTTTTTTGTGGTGCTTTCGAGTTGCCAAGGAGTCCACGTCTTGATCGAGGGGTCGATCTAGTCTGGAGTAGAGTGGGGTGGGACAACAGTCCCATCGCCGGCGGAGGCTCTCAGGCCGATCGAAATCCACCGGATAGGCTGATTTTTTGGCTGGCCGAGAGGCTTTGACTCAATAACGTGAGGGGGGGGGGGGGGGGGGGGGGGGGGGG